AAGCTTAGTAGATGGTTTCTACACTCTTGACAACAAGGCTGGTTTCTCGGTGTCAACTCCAAAGTCACATAGTTAGTCGAGTCAACAAATAAGAGTCAAGTACTTTTATGGCATAATTGGTTTTAAATATTGAAGTCTTTGTTTCCTTTTTCTTTTAAGTCATGTTTAGTGTTAGATTTCTAGTGTCAAACGTGTCGGTTAAGCAAACAATATAGAACAACGTTTCACTCAAGCAATAAAAGATCAAATTTTCCTTTTCATATTGTGTATTATAATGTTTGGGGATTTGTGACCTACCACCATAACATTATAGGGTGGTTATAAATATTGTATCACATTGATTGATGACTTTTTCCGCTATATATGGGTATTTCCCATGCATACTAGAGTAGTGATTTAAAAGGTGTGCCTAGGTGCACAGGTGAAGCGCATTTTGGGGTATGCGCCTCGCTCAGGTCCTAGGCGCACTTCTTTCAAAAGGCACGTGCTTGGTGCGCCTTGCGCCTTAGCCCAGGCGTGCGCCTTTTTAAAATTTTGCGCTTTTTGCTTTTTTTGATTCTAACGGCTGGGTCGGGGGCTCTTGTTGTTTATTCATTCATTGCAATAAAATATCTTCTTAAAAGGCAATGAAAGTTGTAAAATCATTGTTTTTTATGTGACAAATAAGAATTTCAGACCCTAACATAGACTTGTTTGGGCTTGCCTCGAGGGGTGTGCTACAAAGGCGACTCATAGAATCAAGAATGCAATATGTTTTACATCACATTAACTACTTGAAGTAATGCAATTAAGGAAAAAAGAGATTGTGAGTTTTACATGCTTGAAAATGCTTTATATGCTTGCTTTTATTTTTAAATTTTCATTTGAATACACTTTACATGTTATGTTTATGTATTTTAATTTTAGATAATAGGTTTTTTAAATAATTTATTTTAAAATTTAAGTTTATATTTTTATTATGTTTAATATTTTTTGGAATTTTCTGACTTTTTTTTTTTGATTTTTAGCTTTTTTTTTGTAATTTTGCACCTTTCTTAAAAAGGCACGCGCCTCGCCTTGTGCCTAGCGCCTCAGGCGCTAATTGGCCCTTGCACTCTTTTTGCACGTTGCGCTTTTAAAACATTGTACTAGAGATGATGTTCTAAAAATTATAAGGGACTTCCAATGGATGGTGTTCACGTAGTTTCATGTTGAAATCTAGATGTTTCAATTAGATAATGCAAAATAATATTTCCATGGTGATCTAAATGAATTTTTTGCTTCCCAAGAATCACTTCATCAGAGTTAATGTATAGAAACACCAAAACAAAACAATGTTGCAGAAAGAAAGAACAACCACCTTCTTGAAGTAGCATGAGAGATGATGTTACATATGAATGTACCTAAATGGTTTTGGATAGATGCTGTATTTACTATTGCTTATGTCATCAATTGTATGTTCCTCATTAGTTATTGCTCCCTCAATCCCCTTTATTTTCCATTCTTATGAGAGTGCTTGGTTGTTGTGCCTTTGTTCATGATTTGTCTCTTTCCTGTAGTAAGGCGGATTTGAACCCTCAGTCTATTCCATTTTTGTTCCTTGGGTACCCCTCTTCTCAAAAGGGTTACTGGTGCTTTGATCCCATTGCTTGTAAGTACTTTGTCTCTATGGATGTTTCCTTTTTTGAGTCTAAACCATTCTACCCTGTTTCTCCTTAGGGGGAGAGTCTGAGAGTAGTATGGAGGAAGAGAAGCATGCTCATCAGGTCTATCTTCCTTCTATTTTGGATCCTAGTCTTTTTCGTGTCTTCCTGCGTAAGAGTTTTAGAAATCAATAGTGTTCTCAAGATGTGGAGCTGCTGGATACCGAACAACCGACACTGCCAGACTATTGGGAGGTAAGTCCAACTGAGCCATATACCTTTGTTCTTATTGATTCCCTTACTCTCATTTCAGTTGTGGATGATCTTGACATTCTTATTGCCCAAAGAAAAGGGGTCAGGTCATGCACTACCAAACACCCCATTACCCATTATGTCCTACGGTCATATTTCTCCCTCATATAGTGCCTTCTTATCTACCGTTGATTGTATTCCTATACTCAAAAGTGTGACAAAGGCTTTGACTTGCCCTGAATGGAAAGGTGCTATGGTGGAAATTAATGCCCTTCATTAGATTCATACTTGAGACTTGGTGGATCTTCCAAAAGGGAAAGACCCATTGGGGGGGTGTAAATGGGTGTTCACAGTGAAACACAAGGTAGATGGAACATTAGAAAGGTACAAAACAAGGCTGGTATAAGGGTATACTCAGGTCTATGGTGCTGATTATGACGAGACATTTGCTCTAGTGGCAAAGATGAATTCAATTTGAGCTTCTATCATTGGCTAAAATTTTGATTGAGTGTTGCACCAACTTGATGTAAAAAAATGCCTACCTAAATGGTGATTTGAGAAATGAGGTGCACATGGTTCAAAAACTGAGTTTTTGTGCTAAAGAAAGTGAAAATAAGGTGTGCAAGTTGAGAAAGTCTTTCTATGGCTTAAACAATCTCCTAGAGCATGGTTTGATAGGTTTCATACGACAATTCAACAAGTAGGTCTCAAACAATGTCAGTCTGATCACACTCTCTTTTGTTAAGAGATGTTAGGGGTAAATTGTAGTGTTGATAGTATATGTGGATGACATCATCATTACAGGGAATTGGGGCTTTAAGTTACAAAAGTTGAAGGAGTTCTTAGCTTCCCAATTTGAAGTGAAAGATCTAGGACCCCTAAAGTATTTTCTTAGGATTATGGTTGCCCGCTCACAAATGGGTGTCTTCATTTCTCAGAGTAAATACATCTTGGATCTTTTACAAGACTTAGGCAAACTAGGTGCAAAGCCAATTGATACCCCTATAGATGTTAATCATAAACTGGGTGTGGGTGATTGTGATGGTGAGCCTCTAAAGGATGTGAAACAGTTTCAAAGATTAGTGGGAAGATTACTTCATTTGTCTATGACACACCCTGACATTGCTTATTTTGTTGGGGTTTTAAGCCAGTTCATGCATGCAACTAAGGTACCACACTTGGAGGGTGCTAAGAGGATCCTTAGGTATTTAAAGAAGTATCTTGGAACTGGTTTGCTATTTAGAAAACACAACCATTTAAAGGTGGAAGTTTATACAGTTGCCGATTGGGCAGGTGCTGTGGATGGCATAAAATCCATAAGTGGGTATTGTACTTTTGTGGGAGGAATTTTGGTGACATGGAGAGGTAAATAGCAAAGTGTGGTTGCAAGGTCAAGTGCTGAAGTTGAGTATAGAGCTATGGCACATAGGGTGTTTGAGGTGCTTTGGTTGAAGAATCTGGTACGAGAACCTGGGTTTAATGTTGACAGTCCCATGCCTCTTTATTGTGATAACAGAGCAGCCATAAACATTACATCTAATCCTGTCCTTCGCGATAGGACAAAGCACATTGAGGTAGATAAGCATTTCATAAGAGAGAAGCTTGCCAAGGGTGGAATCTGTGTTTCCTATGTTAACTCTAAAGAGCAACTGGGTGGTGTTCTCACAAAAGGATTTCTTTTGCAGTACAATGAACTGTGTGAGAAGTTGGGCATGATTGACATATACAGCCCAACTTGAGGGGGAGTGTTGTCAGCCTGTTATTAGAGTAAAAGTGCTGTTAGAGTGTTCCTCTCTTAAGGTTTTTATGTCCTTTTAATAGTGTGGGCCACCGGATCAAATCTGTAATTACAGTTCTTAAATTTTTTACATCATAGTATAAATAAAGATTCAGGCACTGCCAGCCCAGGTTTTTGGCACCCAAATCTCTTCTTCTCTCTTCCCTTTCTCTTCTTTGCTTCTTCCTTTCACTGTTCGATCATTTTTTGAATGAAAACAGGTCATATGCACTTTATGGCTGGTGTTCAGCATTATGATTGGTCCCACAGCCCAACAAATAGCTATCAAGTTCAGCTAATTTGTTCTCTCTCTTAACACCTAGTCAGTTGCATACTTGCATCATCAATGTCTAAGATGGAGGTGCTAGGAGGAATCTAGGATTTCATGTTTTAGATCTCTCTATTACAAGAAATCTTTATTTTAGGGTAGGTTGTTCATTAATATTGTGAGTTCATATTTTGTAGTCATAGTAACCAAATTATTAGAATTATGTAGAAATAATTATTCATATTCTGTGATTTCTCATTCCATTATTCTCGGAGATCTAATAGAAATCATCCATGTCCAGAAATCTTGTAGGATTTGGTCATATGGTGGGTTTGCTCAAGACAATTCCTGAGTCAACTCTCTGGGTTTCTCTACCATGGTACAAGTAGTGGCTGCTACATGCTTAAACTAGAGTTCTATAACATCATTAACTGAGTAGGAAGTTGGGAGCCCAACGGCCGAGTCCTTGTCTGGATTCATGTGCATTGATGGATTGTGCCCAACCCAGAATTCATTAAAAAGTTGCATATCTTAGATTCTTTAATTTAAGAAAATGGTAGTATCTGGATTCAGTTGTATACAGTACACTTTTTTTTGCCAATCAGTTGTGGTAATGCTTCCTCTTTCTCCTGTTGGGAGCAACAATTTGAAATATCCGCTGTTAGGATAACATTTATTCTCACTATCATGGGGAACAGATGATAGTAATCATTTAAATGACTGATATTGTGGGCAATGAGGCTTTTAGCCTCAAAAATCATTAAAAACCAATAAAGCCTTTTTTCTTTAAGGAGAGGTTAAGTATTGGTTCATCAAGAAAAAGGTAAAAAGACCCATGTACAACCAGAGGCTATACAATGGGGAATACATTGTATTAAAGCCAATAAAGCCATTGACAGCTAGGTCAAATGATTGCAATTTTTTGGCATATGAGACTTAGGAGTTTGATCCTCGGTTAGGAGTGATTAGATTAATTTTCCTGAGGTCAGACTGTTGCACATGTTGGGTCAGTATCTATTAAGTTGATTTGTTTTTTCTGATTCTTGATTACTTGGTTAATTAGATGCATTTGTCTTAACAGTGCACAGACTGGACCTATTCTTTGTGGGAAGCCAATACTGAGATCTACTGTTCCTTCTCTATGTATGGTCCACTTCCAAAAGGCTCAGAAACATGTTACACGGGCACTTAAGAAGGCAGGTCTTAATATTTCTTCATCAACTAAGCTGGCTCCCAAGTTCCATGTCATTGTTGCAGAAGCTGTGCACCAGATCCAGACTAAAAGAAGAGCAGCACGAAGGGCAACTTTAGATAACCGTGTGGTTAAGGAGTCAAATGCTGGTTGAGCCCCCTATGCCAATGTACTTGATCTTTTCCCTATTTGAGTTAGTGAAGTACATTAAGACAAAACTACACAGGTGAAATATCTTTAACAATTGGAGCAGGATGAAATCTTGAATTGGATGGGGATATGTGCATTAGGGGGCAAACCTTTTTGCCAAAGGTAATTTTCTGCATGCCTATTATCTCCATTAAAAGTCTAGTATTTCTGTTTTAATGCTCAGCCTGTTATTAAAATTATCATGTGATGAGGATTAACATACCGGTATCTGTAATAGAAATAGAAAGTTGATGATGCAAACTTGGATGGTTATGCTTTAACAATGGATATCCTGATAGAATGGAATGGTGAAACAGGTCTAGCCAATCTCATATGGTTGCAATAAGGTTTTTTAACATCAAAAGGAGAAAGCATATCATAACAGTTTACTATGTAAATAACTTAATCAACTAGCCTGCATGGCATGCTGAGATGTGTGATGTATCTGTAAAGCCATGTTGCAGTATTACTTAATGTAAGTCCCTCTAATCATGTAAGGAATATCAGATGCCTTTTGACATAAGAGGTTCTTCATTTTAGTGTCCTCCTTATTATCATCTAAACCTTGTCCTAATCATATGAGGTTGGTTATATGAATCTTATTTTTCAATTTTGTTTTATTCAGTGCCATATTCATTGTTAAACCACAGGCTCTTAAATCATTAGTTGCTACTTCAACCCATGTCCTTTTTGGTTTACCCCGAGCCCTTGTCATCCATCCAACTTTGTAATAAGATCACTTCTAAATACTGCTGCTGTAGTTGGTCTCTGTACATTCCTATACCAACTTAGTCTACTTTCCCTCATTTTTTTCACCTATTAGAATAATCTCAGTTATGGTCCTTTGAATAAGCTTCACCTATATTCATTTTTTGGACATGTCATTTCTTTATTGCCCAACACTTTGTTCCATACAAAATTATCTTGCCTTATAACCATTTTTAAAATTTCCTTTTAGCCTAAGCAGTATTCTCCTATCGCATAAGGCTCCAGATGCACCTCTCTGTTTTGCTCATCTTGCACTAATTCTGTTGGTGACATAAAAGATCTAAGGCTTTTGAAAAGATAGAAAAAAGAAGGATAAAAGAAGTTTCTTCTTTTGTTTTTGCTGTACTTTCTATCTCTCTCTTTTCACAATAAATAGAACTGGAGCTCTGGCCTGTGATTTCCTCCTTTCGTTTCCGTCTTAAATCTTTTACAATACAAAATTATGTCATTCTTTAGTTTCTCATAATTTCTTAGTCTTCTAATTCTTTTATTAACAAGTATATTATAGTGTTCTGTTTGGAGTATTGAAACTAATATATTTAAAATGTTATTTTCTTAGATTGGCCTAAGCTCCCTGATGAGTTGAGGTTGTGGCTGGAAAGAGAGTTTGACTTAGAAGAAATCAGGGATGCCATTTTCTCCATGGATAGATCTAAAGCCCCGGGCCCTGATGGTTTTAGATGGCCTTCTATCAAGATTGCTGGGAGATAATTAAGGCTGATATTCAAGTAGTGTTCTCAGAATTCTTTGGAAGAGATGTGATAAATCTAGGCCTGAATTCTACTTTTATTGCTTTAATTCCTCAGAAGGTTGGGGCTTGTCACCCTAAAGAGTTCATACCCATCAATCTGGTTAACAGTCTCTACAAGATCATTGCTAAGGTGTTATCCAGAAGAATTAAAGTGGTGCTCCCCTCAATTATCACCCATAATCAAGGTGCTTTTATGATGAGTAGGCAAATTGTGGAACAAATCTTAATTGCAAATGAGAGTGTGGAGGATTACAGAAGTAGAGGGGAGAAATGGTTGGTCTGTAAGTTGGATTTGGAGAAGGCATATGATCTGGTTGATTGGTCTCTGTTGATGGAAGTTTTAGAGTCTTTTGGGTTTGGGCAAAGGTGGTGCAAGTGGATAAAAGGGTGCATTAGAACTTGCCATTATTCTATGTTAGTAAACGACAAAGTGGTGGATCACCTTCCAGCTGTCAGGGATATTAGGCAAGGGGACCCTCTCTCCTCATTCCTCTTTACCCTATTTGCTGAAGTGTTAGGGAGGCTTATTGAGAGGGCAAACTCCATAAATCTGATTAGTGGTTGGAGAGTGGGGAGGGATAGGGATCCGGTTACTCACCTACAATTTGCAGATGACAATTCTATTTTGTGATGGCAAGGAGATTAGTGGGGTGAACAATCTAAAGATGGTGATTAAAGTGTTTGAACTAATGACTAACCTCAAAGTAAACCTTGATAAGAGTTGTGTGATTGGTATTAATATGAGTGAAGGAGAGGTGGAGGAAAGGGCCCGAGCGATAGGTTGTGAGATAGCTCATTGGCAAGAATTTAGGGCTTCCTTTAGGGGATAATCCTAGAAAAAGGAGTTTTTGGAATCCGGTGATTGACCGGTTCACTAAAAGGCTAGATTCTTGGAAGAAGAATTACTTGTCTTTGGGGGGTAGGATAACCCCGATTAAGTCAACATTGCCAAACCTTTCAATCTATTACTTGTCAGTGTTCAGAATCGCTGAAGGAGTTTGTAGGGAGTTGGAAAAACTAATGAGGGACTTTTATGGGACCCCAGGGAGGAGAAAAGGGACCATAGAGTTAGGTGGGAGCTAGTTACAAGAGCTAAAAGTGAAGGGGGACTGGGATTGGGGAACTTGAAGAAGAAGAATGAAGCTCTGTTAGGGAAATGGTTATGGAGATGGTCCAAAGAAAAGGAGAATTTGTGGGCTAAAATAATCCTAAGTATTCATGGGCAAGAGTCAGCTGGTTGGGATCCAGGACTATCATCTAGGGCTTCAAGAGCCTCTCCTTGGAAGTCTATTCATGCCATCCTTCAGTCTTTTCTTCCCTTCATCAGATATGATCTTGGTTCTGGTTTTTGGGAACACACTTGGGTGGGTGATTTTCCTTTGAAAGAGCAGTTCCCCTCCTTGTATGCTCTGTCTAGGTTTAAAAATGAACCAGTAGCAACCTTTGCTACCCTATCTAATTCTGCTATTGGTTGGAACTTGGGTCTTRGAAGGGCTCTCAGAGATTCTGAGTTGGAACCCATTTCGAATTTGCTTAAAATCTTGGATGAGGTAGCTCTTGAACCTTCCCGTGTGGACTCTAGGGTTTGGTCTCTTATCCCTTCGGGTATCTTCTCTTGCTCCTCTTTTTTCAAAGCATTGACACAGCCTAGTCCGGTACCTGGGTCTTCTTTTCCAGTCCAGAAAGTTTGGCATAGCCCTATCCCTCCTAGGGTAGGTGCTTTTTGTTGGGAAGCAATCCTAGAAAATTGTAACACTTGTGACATACTTCAAAAGAAAAGGCCTAATTGGTGTTTATCTCCACATTGGTGAAGGCTGTTATCACTTGCTTGTTTCTTGCCCTTTTGTTTCAGAGATTTRGTGTTGGTTCTTTTCTTTATTTGGTTGCAGGTGGCCCTCCCCTTCAAGCGTGCAAAGCTTGTTCAGTTCCACTCCAGTGAGGGGTTTAAAGAAGAGAGGTAAAATTTTGTGGAGATGTGCTAGAGCTGCTATTTGTTGGACGGTTTGGGAAGAAAGAAATCAAAGATTATTTCATGACAAAGAAAAAAGCAAGGAAGCCCTCATAGAAATTGTTTATGTTAGGGTGGCACATTGGGTCAAGTCTTTGAAGCTTTTTGAAGCCTATTCAGTATGAGACATCATTAGAAACTGGAAGGAAGTGGCTCGGTCAGCTCCTATGTCTGGTGCTATTAGACCTGTTTGGACTCCACCAGATTTGGGTTTCATCAAATTGAACTTCGATGGTAGCAGTGAAGGTAATCTAGGCCCTTCAGGCATAGGTGGTATTTTCCGGGATGAAGAGGACCGAATTATTGCTATTGTTCTTAGGATCTATAGGCTGGGGGGATTCTTTGAGAGCTGAAATCCTGGCAGTTCTAGAAGGAATTAAAAGAGCTAAGCAGTTGAATATTAGTAAGCTGCTGGTGGAAGGAGACTCTCAATTGACTGTTAGTTGGTTGCAGAAGGAAGAGTCTAGCCTGTGGAAGTTCTCAAATGAAAGAAAGAAAATCAAGCAGCTAACTCAGATCGTAAGGGTTCAATGGGCCAAGAGGAGCACTAATTCCATGGCTGACACCTTGGCTAAACAGGGGGTGGGAAGATCTAATTTCTTTTGGGCTATATTGTAATAGGTGTTTTCAGTTCTGTAAAAAAATGTTATTTTCTTTTAGATATGATGATTTGCCACTATTTTGAGATGAAATTCAGTTTATGTGGATGCTGTTTAATATATAAATCTAGGGAATCAACCTAGAATTGAATTTTTTTCCCTTTTCAACTTCTATAGCCAAGAGCTCTACTGTTACCTAGAATCCTTTATTTTTGACCAATAACAGGATCATTTTGTTAAAAGATTAAATAAATAGGAAGATACAAGATAAGAGGGGAGGCATAATCTCTCTTAATCCTCCCCATCAGAATTACACAAACTTACAAGTAACAACAAGTCCCAAAACAAGTTTCTCCTTTCCACCCCTTGTTTAGCAAGTACAGCATCAAATGAGTTAGCACTTATCTTTACCTGTTGAGATCTCACGTCCATTATTTTGGGGCAGCCATCTAAACCTCCTTTTTTCATTTGCATAATTCTAGAAACCAGTTTCCTCTTTTTGTATCCAATTAATCACCAATTTTGAATCTCCTTCAACAACCAATCTTCTAATATAATAGCTCCTTTTTCCTTTGAACTCCTTCTAGTATAGCCATAATCTCAGCTCTAAGCGAGTCACCTGTACCTTTTGACCCTGAATGCAACAACTTTCCTTCATCCTCCAAAACACCTCCAATACTTGAAGGACTCGGGTTACTTTCATTACTCCCATCGAAGTTCAGATTATGAACCCTTCAACTGGAGGAGATCAAAGAGGCCTGATTGCAACCTTAGATGGAGCTGAATGAGCCACTTCCTTCCAATTTCTAAGCAAAGCATATGTAGAAAATTAGAAATATCCTTGAAAAATCTCTAAAGATTTTACACACTGCACTACTCTGATGGTAATGACTTCAATTAAAGCTTCCTTGCTTCTCTCTTTTTTAGAGAATATCTTTAGATTTCTTTCTTCCTAGATTGTCCAGTAGACAATCACTCTACTGCATCTCCATAGTAT